TTCTGTTCTGGTTCAATTTTCCTGATTAAATTCTGGGATATAGTATTCAACTCCAGACTTGTCCCTATGATTAAGTTAGCTACTTTCTCAGTTTTTGGACTCTTATTTCCATGTATCTGCGTTTAGTTTTCCTGATACAGCACATCCTTGAGAACTTCTTGGAGGTCTGGTCTGGTGCTGGTAAATTCTTTCAGGTTTTGTTTATCTGAGAATGTTCTTGTCTTTTCTTCCCACCTGAAAGATAATCTTGCCGGATACAGTATTCTTGGCTGAAACTGCTTCTCTCTTAACACTTGGAATATATTTTCCCATTCTCTCCTCGCTTTTATTGTTTCTGATGAGAGATCTGCTGTTAGCCTGATGGGATGTCCTTTGTAGGTAACTTGATGTTTTTCTCTTGCTAATCTTAGTATCTTGTCTTTGTCTGCAGTTTTGGTCAACCTGGCTATAATGTGTCTTGGAGAAGATCTTCTAGGGTTGATTCTATTTGGGGTCCGTTGTATTTCCTGGGACTGGATCTTTGAATGCCTCTCTAGGTTTGGAAAGTTTTCTTGCAGGATTTCCTGGAATAGATTATCAATGCCCTTATGGGTTTCCTCACCTTCTGGAATGCCAATTATCCGGATATTTGGACGTTTGATGGTATCCAGTACTTCTCGCATATTATTCTCAAATTTTTGTGCCATTTTCTCAGCCTTCATGGTGGATTTTTCTAGGCCAGCCATTTTCTCCTCTACATCTGAGATTCTATTTTCTGAATGATCTAGTCTGCTTTTAATGCTTTCCAGGGAGATTTTGACTTCTTGTATTATAGACTTCATCTCTAGCAGTTCGGTTTGAGTCTTTTGTAAAGTGTGTAATTCCACTTTTAGATCTTGCAGGAATTTCCTCATCTCTTGGAACTCGTCAATCTCTTTCTCCTTTCTCTTTAGTAGTTCATTATCTCTCTTCTCTTCCATCTCTGTTAGCTTAGACATTATGAATGATCTGAATTCCTTATCAGACATTTCCATGATTTTCACCGAACTGCTTGTGGATGAAGAGTTACTCTTTTCCCTAGGAGGAGAGGTATTTTCTTGTTTTCCCATGTTTCTCGTGATCCGGCGGTGATTTCTTGTCATCTGATGAATGTTGTGTTTTCTTTCAAATTCTGGAGGTTCAGCCTTAATGTTAAGGAGCAAGCAGACAGAGGTGATCCAGAATCTCTTTGCTGTTCTATTGTGCTTGCTGGTGCAGCAGATTCAGAAGATAGTGGGGAATATTTCAACCCTATTAGTATTTGAATGTTTAGCTACAGTGATCTTAGATCTGTCTAAAAACACACTGAAAGGATATTGGAGAGTGAAGAGACAAGAAAAAAGAAAACGAGACAGAGAAAAACAACAAAAAAAGAAAAAAAAATCAAAAA